CGACCACCGCCACAAGCGGGAGCCGTGTGTGCTCGTGGACTTCCAGCGCCGCGCTGATGCAAAGCGCGCGCGGGAGTGCATGCGGTCGAACTACCGGTTCTACAAGACGGACCCATGCACGGTGGTCGCGGAGTGGGCGAGCCGGCCTCGCGGCCCCGACCCAGGCAGCGACGGGGAGGATGGCCCGACCATCCAGCCGCCGCAAGATGCGCTGGAGCTCCTTCGACCCGGGAGACGGTTGGGGTTGCGAGACGTGCCCCGCGGGCGGAGCTAACAGCGGAGCCCTGCGGTGGCACTGCAAGGGGTGCGACGTGAGCTACTGCGAGGCCTGCCGCGTCGGCTTCGGCAAGCCCAAGACGGTGGTGGAAAAGGCCCGGCAGAGCGGCCACGCCGAGCGGGAGGCGCCAGGCCCCAGCGCCGGCCGCGGAGAGCGCCCCAGCGCGGGTGCTGCGAGCGCGGGGGCTGAGGGGGACCGCCCGCCGGGCGACCTCAGCTGGCCCAAGCGCGAGAGGTCGCCCAGCCGCAGCCTGGCGCGGGACCCAGCGCGGGCGCGTCGCGGCGACCCCCCCCCCGGCCGCTCGCGGCGTAAGACCGGGAAGCACGCCGGGCAGCTTCTCGCTCCCGGCGGCGGCTGGTACGAGCAGGAGAAGAAGCGGAGGCGCGCTGCGGCAGCCGCCGCGGAGGCCGCCGCCGGCGGGGGGGGGATCCCAGCCTGGCGCGGCAAGGCCTCAGGCGACACGGGCGGCAAGGGCGGCAAGGTCAAGGGCAAGCACACCGGCAAGACTGCCGAGGGCGCCAAGAGCCGCGGCAAGGGCGACAAGGGCGGCAAGGGCGGCTACTCCAAGGGCGACCAGGGCAGCCGCGGCCCGAGCGAGCATGGCAGGCCCGGCGCGGGCGGCCACGCGTCGAGGGGCGGCGATGGTGGCAGCCCCCGCAGCCGCAGTGAACGCAGCGGAGATCGCAGCGGCGACGAGGGCCGTGGCCGCCAGGGGAACACGCCATCCATCTAGGCGTGGCAGCACCCCACATCCCGACGCCAGCGACCGCGGCATCGCGGGCTGCGGGCGGAGGACAGCGGCCCATTGAGGCGGACCGCCAATCGGGCCCAGGCCCGTGAGTGAGAGGTTGTTCTGAACATGGCGCGCACGTCGCGCGCTATGCGGCCCCCTTCTTCCTGCGCGCTGCGCGGGCGGGGCCACACTTGCGCTCTGCGCCCGGCGCATCATGCGCCGCTTCGTTTTTCTTTCTTACTTTGCGCTCTTCGCGCACGCGCCGCGCCCGCGCTCTGGGTGCGCGGGGCGCGGAAGGCCTCAGGGATGCAGGCTAGTGGCCGCGCGCGCGGGGCTCGCCGGGCCTCGAGCCCCGCCCTGTGCCTCTGGCGGGGCGGCCTGCGCGCGCTGCTGCGCTTTTACTTTCTCGTGGCCGTGCGGCCGCAGGCGTGCCAGAGCGCGAGCGCGTGTGCCGTCAGGGCCCACGCGCGCGCGCCGGGCGTGGACCACCGGGGTCCGTGCCCGGGTGGAGGTGCGCGTCGCCACGATGCCATGTGGTAAAACATCTCCCCTCCGTCCCTGTCTCCTCCTCTCCTCCTCCTCCCCTCCCTCCGTTGAGTGCACGCGTATCTCACTTAACTTGTATAGTCTGATTGGTTTGTAGACTGCAGGTTAAGTGGGGGGGGGGGCTCAGGTAACCATTTGGGGTCCGTAGCGTTCGGCTCAGGCCGACGCGCGGGTGCCCACCCACCCCGCTTTGCTCCCTGACGCCTGGGCCGCGCGGCCGCAGGCGTGCCAGAGCGCGAGCGCGTGGGCCGTCAGGGCCCACGCACGCGCGCCGGGCGTGGACCGCCGGGGTCCGCGCCCGGGCGGAGGTGCGCGTCGCCACGCTGCCATGTGGTAAAACATCTCCTCTCCGTCCCTGTCTCCTCCTCTCCTCCTCCTCCCCTCCCTCCTTTGAGTGCACGCGTATCTCACTTAACCCTGGATTGGGCAGTGCAGTTTTGGCGTACCCCTGCTGACGTCTCGCCGCGAGCGGGCGTTGCGACGACGCCGGTGCCTCCCGTCGCGTCGCCAGGGCCGGCTGTCGTTACGACGGATTCGTTTTTTTTTTTGCGGCATCGGCGGAGCGTGCAGCATTGCGCTGCTGCCACCGCGTGCCCCACTGCCCCCTCCTGCCCTCTCCTCTTCCCTCCTCCTCTTCCTCTCTCCATGGCTGCCCGAATTGGGTCGCGAAGTTTTGGCGTATCTCGGCCGGGGCCCCGCGCGGGAACACAGGTCCGAGGTCAATGATACGTTTTACTGCGAATTCGTATCCATGGGCGCCTCCTGGCGCAGCGATGGCTTGGCCGTGCACACACACGCGCACTCACTCTCTCTCACGCACACACACACGCGCGCACGGGTGGTT